GGCCTCCTCCCGAGGCCAGGGCGCGCACCTGCCCTACCAAGTGGAGACGCTCCTGTCCTGAGCTGCCTGGCTGTGCCCCGCCGGGGTGGGCACCCTAGGAGACGCCGGTATGGCACGTTCAGGGCTTTGCACTTTCTGTCCAGAGAAAAGGAGCTTTAAAAGAAAATTCTCCATCAAACGTGCCTTACCGCTAAAGGGTTTTTGACAGAACTGTTTTAACTTAGTCCAGAATATTTCCTTCCTCTTTTATAACTTTACAGAGGACCAAAGCAATATTTCATAGTCGTTTGAGTTTCTTTACCAAGCCTGTGTCTCCCTTCTTTTGCCGACTTTTCCTCTCTTCTTACTGCCCAGGCACTCCCTCATTCCTACCATTTTCCTTGCACCTTCCATTGATTTGTTCCTAACAAAAGAAAAAGAAAAAAGCACATCAGGGAACCATTCCGTAAGATAAATGATATGACTACTGCTTGGGGTTTGTTGGGCCCCTGTTCCATGTGTACGTATGTGACTGAATGTGAGAGAAGTGTCTGAATCTTCAGTCATTTCTCTGCTATTGACCAATGCTTCACTGTGCCAAAAAGATTAAAAACATATATATTGTTGGGGTTTTATAATTAAATTATTTATATATTTTTAAAATTTGGATTAAGAAAGTTGCAGGCAACAAGCTACAGCTTTATTAATGGTTTGGTGATCGCTCACTGTGGTCTCCCTGGGCCAAACAATTTCTTTAAAGCAAAAGTTGATGTTATGTATGTAGAGTGCCAGGACCACTGCCACGTGAAAGCAAGTGTGATTTTTATTTTTGTTATTTTATTTGTATCTGTGTACATATTCGTGTATAAAGTTTATGAAAACCAGGCATAGTGCTTATTTTTAAATAAAACTCACAACTGACTTTAGCACTTTGTGGTGATGGGCTGGAGGTGGAGAGTTTTTATCCCCTCTCTTTCCAAGTGGGTTTAGGTTTGAGTCTGAAGAAACTTCCTGTGGGGGTCAAAATATTTTCCTGAATGATTCAATAAAAGGAGCGGCAGTCTGCAGGTTTTCTTACCTGACAGATTGCTGTACAAATCTCCAGGATGGGACTTCTAACAGTAAGATTTATTAAAAGTTAAGACCAATGATCTCTGTAAGAATTCTCCTAAGAGTTATGGAACAAATTATAAGGTGTGGGCCCCAAGAATCGTCTGGCAGACATTATCAACAAGCTTATAGACAAGCAGACATTTTCAGGCAAATTGGTCCTGATTGGGGCTCAAAAAGCTGGAAACATTCTTGGCATGTGATTATCTTAATCACCCAAGATTTCCTTAGGGCAGTTTTAAGAGTAATTTGAATGTCAATGTTTTTTGTTTGTTTTGTTTCCAAAACAAAACCTACCTTTGTAGTAGTGCAAAAAGCCCATTTGGGTGTGAACCCATTAGTAGTATTTTTTTCAGTCTCCCCTTTTGTATAAAGAGAGCATCTGTAGATGTGGGGCTTCCAGGCCTTTTCCCTGGTGATCTGAAGAGAAAGTGCCACTTCAGATGGGGTAGGGACAGTTTCCCATATTAAAAATGGGAGATTTGACCAGAAGAAGTACCATAAAAGTGTGAACATCCGTTTCTCAATAAATTCAAAGGCAGTGGGATTCTCACAATTTATAGATTGCAATGTTCTAAAGAGTAATACAAACACAGAAATTCAGAGACTGTAAATGCAGGCCCCACTTGATGTTCTTGGACAGATCTCATCTCATCCAAGAGGATAGTTTGTAAACAACATATTGGGGGGGGGGGTGTTATTTGAGGATGCTATCTTTTGGCAGAAATGGGAGGGGGAAAGCCCATCCCTAAGTCTAGTTAACAAGTTTGACTGATTTTCCTTCTACCTACTTAATATCATAAAGAGTGATAATAATGGGGTTGAATTATGACAAAAGGTAGGCATTTAAGTGGAGATTTGCTACCACAAGGCTAATAATTAGACCTGAAAATAAAACTGAAACAGACTGGGGGAAGGAGGAGAGTCAATGAGTTCACTGGGTTGAAACGATCAGCACTCATGATCAATTCTTTGCTTTTCTCTTGAAAACACACTCTTAAGATTAAAGGTGAGTGGGGAGTCAGCGACTTCAGCTGCTTCCCATCTCTGATTCCACCAACCCTTTCCCTCCCACTGCTGCCTTGTCTCCAGAGGCAGGGTGCTGCCTTTGATTCCAGTTTTGTAAAGCCAAGATTCTCATTTTTACAGCGGACATGATAGCTCTGAAAATGGAGACTTTAAATCACCACTAATTTGTGTTGAAAAGCAATGCAAAAAAAAGATGTTTTTAAAATCACAGCTGGTCTCTCCTCCCTTGAAAAAACTCCTTCCTTCCTAAAGATTACTCCAGAGCCTGAGCCAGGTGGACTGCGGTCCCCTCCTCAGCTTCTGACCCTCGGGTACTGGAAGGTTTTCTAGAGAGTGTCGGGATCGCGTGACCTTTGCGCCCCTGTTTGGTGTTCCCTGACCAAGCTCCTGCCCCCACGACCCAAATGACAATCACGCGGGGTGGGGACGAAGAGGCTCCCGGCTCTGTCCACGCCGCCCCACCCGCCTTCACACCCCTGGCCCCAGCAGTTTCGGCCTCTACCTGCTGGGCTGAGGGGGCCCAGACCCGAGGGAGCCGCGCGAGCCCCGGTTTTCTTCAGGAGAAGCAGAAAGTAGCAGGCGTGCTTTGAGTTCCAGCGACGCACCCTTTCCGCACACCGCGACCGAGACCCGGGCCTTCAGCGATGAGGTTCGGTCACTCTCGCAGGACCGGGCCCTCGCCGCAGCCAGGCGATGCGCCCCCGCCACGACCTTTCCTTCTGGCACCCGCCCAGGCAACTGGATTCCTCGGTGGCGCCAGAGC